TCTCTCTCTCTCTCTCTCTCTCTCTCTCTCTCTCTATGTGCAACATCTCCGCCACCCCGCCCCGCCTCGGATATCTCCAGCATCTACAGGCTAGCGGTGCAATGGCGTGATGCAAACAACCTTCGCAAAAACTTTTGCTTCGGAATGGAGTTTCCCTGTGCCCTATATACCTGCATGCATGGAAAGGGACTCCCGGGGGAAGGCAAGCACTCCGTACAGGTCATCCACTGGAGTCGGGGAAGAAACTTAACGGATGAAACGACAAAAGAAAATGGAAAAAAAAAACCAAAATAATGGAAAAATTGAGAATACGAGAGCGGACTTCAAAATACCGAAACGAAGCAATAGGAAACAAAAAGCCCGCCCCTTTCCAGTTCCCCGCTCTTTACCTCCTTCACCCGTCGATATCCATCAATGAAGCATTTGAAAAACGGTCCCATCGAACCTCGATCTCAAGCGCCATATTGTGAAAACCACCGGTAGAAGTGCACAGACGCAGTGAACAAACTGCCGGTCCGACCCAATGGTCTGGGTGTGTGTGTGTGCACAGCCACACACACACACACACAACAACAACAACAACAACAACCCAACTGCAAACCATTCCCTCACTTGCTTGAGGGATTCATGTCGTCGCCCCTGTCCTCACGTCGTCCACCTCCTCCTCCCACACGCCTCGCCATGACCTCGACCAGAAGCTGCAGCACAGCGTTACCGTCCTTCATTGCACTGGCTGCCACACCGATTTGAGTGGCCATTTGCTGTGCACCTTCTGTATTGGCTCTTGCAAGAGTCCCCGCCGCATTCCCGAGATTCCCGAGACCATCACAGAGAGCGCGCGTGGAGTCTTCCATGGAAAACCACAAACCGGATCTCGCAGAGCCACACCCTTCATCCGCTGATGTTTTCCCTTTTACTGTCCGGCGGGACTTCCTGCTGCTTTCGGAATCTTCCACCAGGCCGGCGGGGGAGGTTCCCTTCTCCGAGCCCCCGCTATCTGCACCAGGCAACGTGGACGACTCCAATGTGTTGTCGCACATGCTTGACCTTTTCCCCTGCACCCATGCCATCTCGTCCCACAACTCTTCCTCAAAAAGGAACGTCAAACCCTCCCTCTTCTTGTCCTCGACCGACATGTCCCAGAATGTCAGCTTGCCAGACCCACCGCACTTGTCGTTGATCTCCCTGTACTTGTTCTGCAAGTCAGCCCATTTCTTTCGCACGTCCTCCGCTGATCGGTGGTACCCATCCTCCTTCATCCGCCTCGCCACCCAATCATTCCTCAACGATCGTCGTTGGTGTTTTTATCTTGGTTGGGCGGCCTCCATCATAGCGTCATCCTCTCGCATGTATTTCACGAGTGCCAGGCGCTCCTCCAAAGACCACGGCTTCTTCTTTTGCTTCCCTCCTTCGATGTCATCCTCGGTATCGCCATCCCCGGTCGGGGACTGAGGTGCACCTTGCCGGTCGGCACGTGCCTTTCGCCCGATCACCCGTCCCCTCGTGTTGAAGGACCGGAGGTCGCAGGAGCGTGTGCGTCATAGGGGGCGGGTGTGCCCTTGGCACACTGCGAAGAGGGAATGGCTTCAGCATCTGGGGCATCGCATGACATGCTCACCAGATGCTCAGACATCGTCAGGGAATACCCATCCGCAGAAGGGCTGAAGCCGTGCGTCGGAGTCGTGTCTTCAAGCATGTATGGAGGTGCATGCGACGCGGCCCTACCTCCCTCATCAAATCGCGATCGCTCGAAGTAACCGGCCATTCCATAGCTGTGGCAGTCGTTGCGCTGTTCATAAAACGTCGCCAGCCCAGACATTGCCGGATACTTTGTTGTCGACTGCTGGACCCCCCCTGCCAAACTTGCAACTGTAGACGACAACAACGATGGAGGAAGGGGGGTGTATCTCATAGAAGGCGAGCACCCAAGCTCCGTTGGTTCATGATTCCAAACCGGGGCTGGCCTATAACAGCCCAGGTATGAAGCCGCTGGCCGCATGTTGCCGATGTCCGAAGGAGACAATGACAAGCACCCGGCCAGCTGACTCTCGAATTGTCTGCTATGTTGTCGATTGCCACCGCCCCTACGTTGTTGCGGATCGGCCATGCTCATACGGTTTTGTGACCACTGACGACAACTGGCGTCATCTTCACCCTCCATCTCCCTATCCAGCAACCTCTCCTCACACCCCATTGTACACATTTGTCTATCTATCTATCTATCTATCTATTGGTCTGTCTATCTATCTATCTATCTATTTATCTATCTATTTATCTATCTATCTACTATCTATCTATCTATCTATCTATCTATCTATGTATGCAACTTTGTATTCCTTGACACATCTGTTTGTGCATGTGCATCACCGACACATGCGAAAGTACAAAGCGCCAAGACCCACGAACGCGAACACAACAACGCTTGCAACAAACAACACCAGAACACCCAACATGAGAAAGATAACCACGGACATCACGGGGCGAAGTGCACTCGCCTTGCAACCGTCGCAGTCGGCCGAACTTTCAACGACAACGACTATAGGACCACGACACCCACAACAACAACACAGCCATGGAGACCCACACAGTTGATGATGTGGCAACGAGTTACACGCCACGCCTTCACGGTTTTTGACAAGAACTGTCAAACGCTCCGTCACACGGGTTGTGCACGTGTCAACACCCGATAACCAGGGGCGACGGACCTGCCACCCAGCACCTCCCCGCCCGCTCAGAACTGCCGAAACGAATCCTTCGTCCCACCTTCCGGACCGAGCTTGCACACCATTGTCGACGTTCTGGGACCAAAAACGATGATGGATGAAAGCCAGCACCTTGTCGCACAGTCTGCCCTCGTCACGGCTGTAAACACTCTATGGTTGTGCTACGTGTGGACGTGTCTGCCACGCTGCGTTTGTGACACAATGGCTGGCCTGAAGGAGACTGAACGTTGGATTCGGGAGACGAAGCAGCCGCCCCCCCCACGACGTGCGTGCAATGTTCACGAACGACCCGTACATGGCTATGGAGGCTGGCATTCGTCGTAGTCTGCATGCGAACAGCGGAAGAAGGACATCGGGTTCTGCATGCAGCCAGCCTACGTGCTTGTTGTAGCGATATGCTCCCGTGCGAAAAAAAATTGAAATCGCAGGGTCGTTGGGCCGCGGGATAAATTCAAAACGAAAAATGACGTCAATCTCCCCACCCCACACGGTGCCACGGCCCAGGGCCCAACGGTCAGCGTGCGACAACAGCCCTTGTCCGGCCGCAGGCCCGTTGGACCGAACACTGGACCGCTACATGTCCACTTTGCAGCCACCCGACTTTCGTCCGAATGTGCGGGAGTACGCACCCAAGAGGTAGGTAAACAACCCAACTTTTGGAAAACGGGCATTTAGGGCCACGTAGGAATAAGGGGGTCGCAGACCGAGTGGAAACAGTCCGCAAACGACTTCCGCAAAGCCAGAATCCATTTGTGGGATCTCGAAAGTTGCCTCACAACTTCCGAAACCGTTTGCCGCCGTCCTGTGGGGTCCTACCCTAAGGGACTTTGGGCCCGGTTCCCAGCACGTGATGCTCCCCACGAATAGATTGGAGCAATTTTCTTATAAAAAAAATATAAAAAAAACAGTGATGCACAGAGTGCCACATACCTGAATTCGAATCCATACTATATATTATCGGCCCATACGGACAGTCTACAAGTCTAATGTTCATCTCTGCTCCACGAGGGGTCCTTGCTAATCCGTAGGGGGCCTTCGGAAATAAGATTGAACAAATAGATTGAAACATTTGTATTAAAAAAAAAAAAAAAA